AGAATAAAATACTATGGCAGCTTGGGAATTTGGTTGCAAGTTTAGACCCCAAAACTACAGTATAATATTGATATGATTTTATTATGTTAAGTGCTGGTTGGATCATGTAATACAGTCGTAATTACCATATTTATATATSGATAATACGAGAAATTAAACCGCAGAAATCATCCATGAAGTGATAGGGGTTTTGTTATAGATGGGAGTAAATGTTGACCAAATATTTTTAAATGTAAAACCACAATGAGTTTGAATATTTTCTTGTATTTAACTGAAATATTATGTCGACTCCAGTGGTTTAATGAACTTGTTAATTGTTATTGGCTAAATGCCACAATTATTCGTGATTCATTTTTTGCCAAAACTGCACAACCCTAGCATGCATGTCATGTCATTGTAGGCATTTTACACTGGGTTTACATCCACTCAGCATCAGAAGGCAATACTGACGGAGGGATTGCAGACAGTTTGAGCAGCTTCAAAATTACAGAAAACTCTGAGAAATTGGGGAACAGCTGTGTTTTTCTTTCTCACCAGATTGCTGAACCTCTGGCTATTTTTACTTCCAAGACACTGTGCTTCTCTAAGGTGATATTTTTAAATAGCCTATCATGTTTCTGACTGGTTTTTAATTAACCCAAATAGCTGTGGCTTGTTCCTCAAGCAGCTCCTTTTTAGTAACAGTAAAATCATCTACTTTTTGTCTCACCTGTCTTTTGAGAAGTGTTGCTTCCATCAGAAAGTGTAGTTGAATATCTTATTTTAAAAATCTGATTATGGTCAGTTTTGAACAAAATATGAGATTTTTAGATTTTTACATTCTATTTTGCACTGAATCTGAACATTTGAAATACGAACCAGTTTCAGAGTTGCTTACCCAAATCTGCTCACAGTTTTTATCCATCAATTGTGGCCTGAAAGGATTACAATAAAATCAATGTGTTGAACTTTAATAGTTTTTTCCAAACGTTTTAACTGCCTTTTGTAGACAACAACGGTAAAACATCAAAACGAAGGGAACATGAAAATCCTAAACCCCACAGACAGCTATTCTTCCCACATACCCGAACTCTGCATCTTTCTTCAATGCTCTGCTTCCCAGCCTGTCTTCCACCACCTCCAGAGAGGTTGTTTTCATGGAGCTCTAAGTAATTAGATTGCCATTTAATCTCCCCTTGCCTCTATGAATACAACTGCTATATTTGATTCTGTGTCCAATCAACACTATTAACCATGTCAAGTAAGTCTCTCAAAGATGAACTTGGGTCAATTTAACAAATTCTAAACATCTCGGTGGGAAATTTCTGCCCTATATCAAGAGGAATCGTTGCCAGAAGCTGACATGGTTTGTCAAAAAATGAGCCTTGTTTTGTAAAGAGTTTCTGCTTTTTCTGTTCTTCCTCCAGCAGCGAAGCATTTCAATTGATTGTGGCAGGCCTGAGAAGGCAGAATGCGGATTCTCCGTGTTGTTTTTGTGACTGTTTAAGGGTATTTTTCATTTCGAGCATGATACAGGGTATGTGCTCATAAAAACAAGGGAAGAGCTGATGTGGCCTGATGTGACACATTTATATAACTTGTAGATAAAATCCTTGATAAAACTATTTTGTAATGGAGAATTTACTAACACAGTTGGACTGTAGCATGATCTAATAAATGCAGTCTTGTTTTATTTTGCACGTTTAAAATCCTCGTTGATATTTGGTTTATCTGTGACAGTGTTGTCCCAGCATAGCAGCTGCACTGGTTTGTGCAAATGAAGCACGTTAACACTGGGCTGACTATAACACTGTATAATATTAAATAGGATTTTCAGGTGCAGACTGAGGTTTAGCAGCTTACCGGTTATTGAGTGTAGTAGATTAAAAAATGATTTAAATAGCCATCTCATCAGTGAGTCCGTTTTCATTCATCCATCCTTTAATCCTGTGCTCAAACTATCTCTTTTTAATTAATGCTCTGTCCACGTAGCTCACATTATGTGCCATCATTCAGATCGGCTCGGCTCAATCTCGCTGTCACCAAACTGCTGTTGAAGCACCTTTCGTGTTGTCCTTCCTGCGGCCGTGCAGGGAAGCTGCAATGATTTTTATTTATTTTTTAACACTTAGACACGACAACCCTCCCTCAGCTCAAGAAGTCAGGGCAATGCTCTACTTCTTGATTTTCAGGAGCYGATTGAAGTTTAGCCAGAGGCCTATCAGTTATTGAGAGTGGTAGATAAAATATAATTTAAGTGGCTCTCGAGAGGAGATATTCAGACTTCATGGAATGACAGTGACCACTAAAACAGTTTTATTGATAGCCTCTTAGCCTCATACTTTTAAAGTCTCCTTTCTTTCTCATTTTCCTCCTCTCCTGTTCCTTTAGATTATTGACCGGAGCTGTGTGTGTGTTTGTGTGTGTGTGTGTAAAGGCTGTGTCATACCATTCACACATAAAGTAAGACTATTGATAGTCTTTTTCTGAACCACAGAAGGCTGAAGCAGGCACTTTAAGCTGATCCTGCACATTTGGGCTTTGACGTTGTGGCCTGTGTGATGGCAGTCAGTTCAGCACTTTTTCAGAATATATAATATGCCTTACCACAACCAGAATACCATACTACAGTTACATTTTAGATACAAACCAAGACAACATCAAGCTCYATCATTTATGGCCCTATGATTTCCAATATGTGGAAAACATGGATGGAATTGCACACTTTAGCAAACGAAATCCAGTATAAAAACACAGAATTTCACAGAATTTGCTCATTTGAGTGAGTTTCTGAGATATTTTGGCTGCTGACGCTTCCTGTACCTGCCGTTACCTAGTTAAGTGCACGCAGGGTGGGCTCTCTTCTCCACAAAAAAATAAATAAAAATAAAAAATTGTTTAGCCATGGCGAACAGGCTTGCTGAAACAACCTCTCCAAATTAAAAATTGCGAAGCTTAACGTAAAGTTTATGGCAGAACCCCAGCATTTTTTAATCAATCTGCAGAACAACTTTTCTGTAAGTTTTGTCAGCATACAATGAACGGGATGTGTAACAATACATGTGAAGACTAGGGATGGGCGATATTGGCAATAAAATTAATCACGATTAATTGTGGTGTTTAGCTGATAACGATTAATTTGACAATTAATYCCCTGGAGTCCCTGGACACCCTTATGTCCTAGTCACATGACCAATTTAGTGGGAAAAATTTGCTCTTCGTAAAAATCTTTTTCAAACTGTCAAAATCACAGACTTCAGGCTACATCTCAAATTTTAGATTGTGTTGATTAATAAATTACAGAACTTTTATTTAAATGTTCGTCATATTTGAAACGGAGAGGAGCACCGAGCGGACTGACCGAGGAAATCCCCTGTCAGTCTGCCTGGTGGCATTAATCATATTAATCGTCAAGTGCCAAAAAATAATCGATTAATGTTTTTCTGACGATTAATTGCAGACGATACGATTATGCCCAACCCTAGTGAAGACCCAGTTACAGTCAAAGACTAGCACGAGCCAAACTCCCCTGCCAATTCCTCAACATTAAGCTAATAAAAACGAAACAGTTCAAAACAGATATTGTTTTACCTGATTTTCTTTTTGCTGATCCTACCGCCAACAAAAACATTTGATTATCAGCTGGTATATAAAGAATATATAAACAGTATTGAAAAACCAAGCGCAAGTAATTTGGTAAGTCATCACCTTGAATGCTCTAGAGCACATGTGTCAAACACAAGGCCCGCGGGTGACTCCCGTGTGGCCCGCCAGGACCTCTTACTTAACATGAAATTTGTTTCTTATATCAATGGTAAGCTTTAAATTTGTGGTTAAATGCAACTAAATGAATTTAAAAAAATAAATTAAAAAAATTCCTGTCCCTGAACTGTTGGCTTGAAGTAACTTAGCAATTTCGTTGGATAGCACAGTACTAATGTCTGAAAACAAGCTGCTTTAAAGTCACCATCAAACATAAACTAAATCTGCCAAAATGCTGCTACTCACTAGAAACTCGTCAGTGAGTAAAACTTTGTTTTACTTTTAATAATATTTCTGTATTTATTTCAGATTTAGTCAGTCATATACTTAGTTCTTATCAGTGTTTAAAAGAGGGCGTGTTAAAACTCTGTTTAGTCAAAGTTAAACATGAAACATCAAAGTTCATTACAAGGGGCCCTTCGAGGGCCACCATAACGCTCATGTGGCCCTCGGTGAAAATGAGTTTGACACCCCTGTTCTAGAGGAGTGGCTCAGGTTTATCAGTGTTTATGTTAGAGTCATTGGTTTCTCTTGAAAAAGAGATTTTTAATCTCAGTGAGATCTGCCTGGTTAAACKAAGCTTAAATAAAATAAAAATAAAATTGACAAAAGTAATTTTAATAAAGGGTAAATATATTGTAATATCTTGACTGGTGTTGAGGTGGACTCAGGAAATGCCAGTTTATTTCTATCCAGATGACTTATTAGTTAACATATCAGATTAAAATAAAGAAGCAGGCTGAAACACAGATTGCGTTCTAGTTTACAGATAACTTCGTACACACATCTCTGCTAGTCGTGATATAAACYAAGTGGAGGTTGAACACATTCCGAGCTTCTGTAGGCTTGGCAACGACACGCGAGAGAGATGTTTCACAGTGTTTGACGTTAATTAATTTCACCTTTCTTGGCCCTGTGATCACTCATTCTCTCACGTGTGACCTCTCCACTTTTCAACCGTGTGCCCTCTCCTTTCCTCTCCAGCGAACTCGGCACCTGCTCAGCTCCAGACAGTGATTGAAATGATGCGGAAGGGATAATTGGGGAATCAAAGATGCGTATTTTTAGAGCARGGGCTCAGCGCGTTAATGTCCCACACCTTTTGAGAGCTCATCTACATTATTTTACRGGAACCTTGCTCATTCTTCCCCTTTTCCCCTCTGCTGTTTTAACCCTAATTCACTCGTTCTCTTTCTCTCAAGGAGAACGGACAGGACACATTTGGATCACTGCGTCTTTGAAGAAGCACGACTACTTACCTGTAAATAATGCATGCGCTGTTCCGGCATGTGTCACAGTTAGCCATGTCCTGTCCAGTTCGATAGGAGAGTCTGCAGGGGAGAGCAGAATTGTGAATGAGTAATTACAGGACTTGTTAAGCTGCTGCCTCACACCTTCCCTTCTCATCTKATTTGTCATCTCTCGTTAGTGGGGCRAAAGTAAATGAGGGCGATGAGGAGCCACGCTGCCCTGCTGAGTGGCCTGTGCCCTGCAGCTCGGACAGAAGGAGCACAGTGACTGTTTGGAGGTCAGATTGGGAATAAGTGCCATGAGTGCCGATTGGCATTTAAATGATGTTTGGATCACAAACCTTCCTCAGAATTTAAAATTTGCATAAGCACACTTTGATGACAGGAACAAAGAAAACAAGAAACCTTCAAATGTTTCTTTTATCTCATTGATGTAAAGCATTTAACCTAAAGTGTCATTAATTAAACCAGCAAATTTGAACAACCTCATGTTTTTTTTTTTTTATAAATAAACCTTTTTTTTATTTAAACTGGAATTATTTGCTCCTTCTTGGTATGTGATGATCTCTCCTTTTCCCCTCAGTTATTGATTTTATTTTATTATATTTTTTACTCATTTTAGAATTATCTCTCCATTGAATAATCAATTCTGTGCGCAGAACAGAACAGTGTTGGTAAGGATGAGTTATTACCTGTGAGATGAAAATCGTTTAGGTCCTCTTAGCTGATTTAATAATTTGTTTTAGGCTGAAGACCCTTGGATTTTATGCAGTATTAGTATCATTGTAATGTAATCATCACTAAATATACAATAATTCTCTTCAGTAGCCTGATTAAATAACATCCTATGTATAGTACAGTTATAAACAGGCCAACTGGACACACACAAGCACCAACAAGTCCCTCTTCACACTAAGGTTTTGCACTATGGCTGAAAGAACAATCTCTTCTTAAGCCCCCAGTTGAGCACATTCACACATTGTCCAGTCCATCAGGCAAAGTCATGTTTCTGTGTGCTTACACACATAAAACCAGTCTTTCATAAGCAGTGTAGTGGTAGTACTGTTGGTTAGATTACAGTACTGCACAGACTAGCCCACTTCACACATACTCCCCAACTCAGTTCTATGACTACTTCCATTGCCAACTATGTTTCAWCTGGGACCTTTTGCGGCAAACACTGCCACTTGCATGTTTTTCTTCTTTATTTAAATTAGGACAATACATRATAATCAACATGTCAGCAGTAAGCATCAATGTAAATATGCGGGAGTTAGCACAACAGCTAGTTTAAAAGCAAATTAAAAATTTAGATTCTTTTTATGTATTGTTTCAAATAAGTATGAATGAATCAATGGCATTAGTTGCCTTCCTACTATTAAAAAAATGTAGCCTTCCTGCTAACCACTGGACCACTTTGGCACCCTGAGATGCAACTATTAGGACTGGTAGAAACCGTTTATTTTAAGGAAACAATGCTGTCACATGGTAAAGTCTCCAGTTTGTGATAAAAATAGTTTTTCTTAGCAGAACTGAACCTTTTCCTGTTACAAGTCTGAAATTCTCAATTAAACATTGTAAAGTCTATTCTTATCATTGAGGGGAATGTGCTTTCACTAATAAATKACCTCTTTCGTCTTTGCAGAACCACAGACATATTTCATCGCTTGTCACCACGGTGCTTGTCACGCTGCCCATCGTGTGCGGCACCAATAAAAATTAAACTCCCGTCATAAAATCCTCCTTTTTATCTACTGCGCTTCTTGAGCTGCATGCTCTGACAGGTATTAGAGGAGCTGATATCGATGCGGTTATCCGAAGCTGCTGCAGACTCGGGTAATGGCGTCCAGGGGAAAAGTGCAGTGACGCAGCAAGTGTGCTTGAAGTTTGCACCTTGGATTATTTATGCACAACATGTAATTAATTGGCTTTCTGTGGGAGACAGGTTCACATTTTAATACAGTTGAAAAGGTCACATAACTTTCCACCAGGTGAGCCAATCAATGAAACTGGTTTCACAGCCATTTGGATTGGATCCTCTGAACTACTTTACTCTATTTTCTCTTTTTCCTCACTTTTTCCCCCCCTTCGGTCTCTTTGTCTCTCAATCTTTCGTGGCTCCCCATCGCTCAGCCATACCGAGTTGATAAGAGAAAATAAGAGAGCAGGGCTCATTTTGGCGAGCCTCCCTGGGGAGAGGGAAGCCAAAAGTGCCATTAACGGTATTTTTATACACCCTCCACCCTTTGTGCTGCCAGGAGAGCTCTCCCAAAGGTCATTTTTGTGGGTGGCAGTCCAGAAGCACAAAAACAAGCACAGATACATGGTGCTAATAGACAGGTTAGCAACAAGTCACTAAGAGTGAGACTAATTGGCTCTTCTCTGCCAACACCCTGATGATACAGCAGTATCTTACGCTTTGTCCTGTTGGATGCAACATATGTGTTTTAGACATGTTCACATCTTTGTTATTCAACAGCAATATTCTTTTTAGGTCTTTTCCTATATGTGGCATGAATATGTATGCACTGTCAGGATTCCTTTCCTACTAGTTGCTTAGAAGTTGCTCTTTAGTCTGGTCTTCAAACTTCTATTTTTCTAGAAAGCCAGTGATGACTTTAGGATGAGCATAAAGTTGAATCATTCCTATTAAAGATATGCAGATTAGCTTTATTTCGCTTTCTTTTCATCAAGTTTTAATACAAATCCATACAAATGTTGTTTTCAATATTAAGAGATGAAATGAGACTGCAGCTCGGACCAAAAAAAGTGCAGATAAAACTAAAAGGGAATTATAAGGTCCAGCCTTTTAGACGGCACATATATCTTTTTATTTTGGCCAACATGCAAACTTTTTATCTCTGGTCACAGCCCTCTCCTTGTGCAAGTCTTTTTAAAAACAAAGTTGGTGTTCTATCGGTTGGTAAAAATAAATAAATAAATACTATTATGTTGTCTCATTACAACAGCAAGCTTAAAAGAGGGTAAAATATGAAGCGCAAGAAATGCAATGTGATTGGAACATTTATAAAATTCTGTTTGTTTGATGCTGTATTAAAGTTTTACCAACTGGGRAGAGATAACATTGTTATTGTTAAATGGGTACCAGGTCATACTGGCATTAATGGTAATGAGAGAGCTGACTACCTTGCAGAAGCTGACAATCAGGCCCATCTCAAAGATCCAGAGCCTGTTGTAGGTATCTCAACAACAGTCTGTAGGACTGCCCTAGAGGCCTGGATTTGACAGCAATACTCAATCTGCTGGATGGTGCTGACGGACTGTAGACAGGCACTGGAACTAAAAAATGGCCCAAATCTAAGGTTTGGGAAAGCTCTCATCACCCGACAAGGAATATTTTAGTACGCTGGTTTGAGTCCTAACTGGGCACAACCTGCTCAACTACTCCAAAATGCTGATGGGATTCCATGACGATGATCTTTGTGATGCCTGTGGCATTGGATTACAGACCACTTTAGACTACTCAATGGGCCCCCGCTCATATGGGTTCTTCATTCATCCCCATTCACCAAACCAAACCAAAACATTTTACAAAAAGGCAAACTTCAACTTTAAAGACTTTCATGTTAGAGGGAGCCACCACAGTTGGAGGCAAGAACAAACTGGCTTCAATAAAATCTATAAATCTATATTTTTCTGACAATACAAAATATTTCTCTCTTATTTTAATTATTATAAATCTTTATGGCCTCAGTTGCTGAATGTGGGAATTCTCCTAAACATTACGTCTCTGTTATTGTCACTAGACTTGAGAGCTAGTAGAAATACTTCAGCATCTGCCGCGTAGCCATTGAGTGACAGTTATGATTGACAGTTTCACTGGCTGCACAACCTGCCTTATGAACTGGCTGGGTGGAATGGCATGGGGAACTGTTTCAAGGATAAACAGTCTTGTTTTTCTTTTTTTCAAGACAAGGAGTGCTTTTAAGAGTTTAAAGCTAACAAATAACACACACACACACACACACACACACACACACACACACACACNACACACACACACACACACACACACACACACACACACACACACACACACACAAAACAACAATAACTTGGCTCTTGGCACATCTTAGTTGCATCTGACGAACACATTAAAAAAGTTCAACCTTGAAGCATTTGTGTTGACTAATAAAAGCAGCTGTCTGTGTGATGAAATTGCACTCATTCACCTGCAACTTGTTAGCAGTCCTGCTTGGGTTCAGGGTTAGTCTCATTAATGCAAGAAAATTAAAAGAATAATGTAATATGGTTAAAATAAAGCTCAAATGTTTCCACTGCAGTACATTTCTATCTTTAAAATTTAAAGTTTGCCTAAAGACAACTGTACTGTGTTTGGACAAGAAAACAGGCTCATTTAGGCTTGAATGGATTACGTAGGGATTATGCTGCTCGCTGACTCTAAAGTATTTGCAATTAATGAACGAAAACATGTTTTTTAAACAGTAGTCGCTATTTTGATTTATTAAACCTTCTTTTTTTGCAATGCATTTGTATTTTGCAAACCATTCTAGATAGATCCTCGAGCTGCACCACAGGTCTGCTTACTTTGCAGTCGCAGCGCTCTTTTATGAGTTTGGTGAAAAGGAGATTAAGGCTACCTTGTGAAAGATTGGAAGGAGAGATAACTGCCTTTTCAAATGTTGCGAACTCCGACTGCTGTGGCATCTTATTCCTCCCTCAAACCCCAGCAGAAAATAAGAGTTTAACCCTCACCGTCAGACAAGTTGATGCTAATRTTTAATTCCAGACATTTATAAGTATAGGTGAGTTATAAACATGATAGGCACTTGATATTTGAACACGATTTGGATATTGAGATAATTTCCCATTTTTACTCTTGAGCAACCAGTTCTGTTCAGATTTGTTTACTAAACTCCAGCAAGTTTCTACCCTTTAGATAGCCTCTATTTAGCAAGGATTGATACTATCTGATACACTCAGCCACATTCAGCCTGTTAAAATAACAATAAATCAATTAATCACATGGTAATTTAAAATTAGGTTGATCATTTTAATTTTTTGCCTTCTTGTTTTCTTTGTGTCTCCTCCTTTTCTACTCCTTAATGCAGGAAGGAGTGAACTCTGGCATCAAGTATTTGCCAGGCACATGTTATCCTCCGTGGCATGAGAGACCAGTGAACAGGCATTTAGCTAGAGGAGGGTCTTTGCTTTTTGTTTTATGCCATCTTTCAGCTGGCGAAGCCTCAGGATGCCCTCAGGGCAATGTGTCGAACCTTGGGCTCACTGAAAGTTTCCTCTTTTTTTTACACTGTAAATTTTGTAAACTGGAACTACAGGAAGACACATACAGAATATACAATGTGCCGACTTGAATAAAGGAGGTGGGAAGCGATTTTACAGCTTCAGCAGCTGTTCTGTTGTTTTCCTAATCTCCTTTCCAGGTCAGTTGTTACTTTTTTTTAAAAATATTCGTAAATTTTGTTAACTTCCGTAAGCAGGGGAGAAGGGTGGGGGTGGTACCATTATATTAGTTTAAAACCGTCTCCAAACGATATTATCGTTTATCGCACTAATTTCCRAGACAATTTATAGTCTAGCAACATTTATTGTGACAGGCCTATTTGATGTCTATTGAACAATGTCTTTTTCACAAACCGTGGATTTTTCCATTGTCCTCAAACGTATGAATAACATTTGCGCATATTTGTTAGTTTGTGTCTGTATAAGGCCAGTTGTAATGGCTGTTTAGGCTTTCAAAATTTTATTATACTTCCCAGAACAATTTTTATATTTAAAATATCTTAATATTTATTCAGTTTTTACTTCAGTTGACAGGATTCATATTGATTCCAAAGGAACTTAGTTGCAGTACCACTGATGTTAAGTAAAAAGTATTTAGCTGTTTCAAGAGTTTGGTTTTATTATTAAAATGTCACAAGCAATGTATGTTACGTATATCACTACTAGTCACCCAAGAACATTGTTTACTAAGGAACTTTAAATGTCTGTAAGGAAGCCTTGGAGTATTTCTAATGAGCTATTACATCATGGTATTRCACTGTAAATGTACAGAGTACATCCAGGTGAAATCTCATAGAATGATGTAGTGCACTTTAGTCTTTTTTTTTACTATTGTTGGTTTCACTTAGTTGAATAATTACATTTTACATTTGCATTTCCATTTATAAACATTGGATTAACACATTTTTAAAGTACTGAGGCACTAAATGACCTTACTGTATTAGTGGTGCAGGTTGCATGCCTGCTGTGACTGATTAAAAACAGTAGTTGTTTTTTATTTATTTTCAGCGCGTGTTGTGTTCAGAATGACTTCAGTCATGGCTGGCGGCTGACTCATTTTCAGAGTGACATTAATCTCTAGCCTCATGGTAATTTACATGAAAATAGTTTTATTGCGTTCCATACAATTAGCTTTACGAATGGTACGTTTGTGAATAAGAAAGCAGCACTATAGGACTGTGACTTTGACTTAGCACTTATTCTGAGTTGGAGTTTTGGCTCCTGTGTCGGGGAAAAAGGCAGATGTGATTTATTTATTTATTTATTTTTGTATGTGAAAAGTTTGCATCTGTAATGAGATGTCCTACCCTTCTCGATGAGCCTCTCCCTTTTCCAGTTCCTGGATGACCCCGAGCAGCATCTTGATGGTCTCTTGGCTCGAGCTGATGAGATTTTCCATGGCTTGGAGCTGTGCTTTTACATCCCTGTCCTGATTCACAGGCACTATTTGCTTACAGGCTTCCTGTGTTTGGGTGGACGGTGCCCCATCAGCCACACCACTTGTGGTGGGTGACAGAGGTTCGTCCATGCCCCGTATAGGCCGGGCAGATATCTGTCCCGTGTGACACTGTGCCTTTGTCGTACAGCCTCCACTGGATCGTGGTAAAGTCTCACCCATCAGCCCGTTAAGCTGCAAACCCTTTTTTCGTTTGCTTTGCACAGATGGACTGTCCAGGCACTCCACCTGTGTAAGAGAGTTCCATGCGATGGGGCCCGTCACCTTGGAGGGCCTGTCCGGGAGGGTTTGGGACGAACCTTCCTCCAGACTGAGCAGTTGCCTCTTGGCCAAACCGTCTACGTTGGTCTCCCTGTGTTGTAATCCAGTTCCAGCCTTCGAAGGGACGCTGCAAAGCTGATACTTGGTTTGTGTGCCAGCACCGCTTCCTCTTGGTGTGTCTGCAAGGAAGTCTGTGTCTGCAGTGCAACTGAGCAGCAGAGCATCGGAGCACAGGCCATCGGGTGCACTGTGCTGTTCCACTGTGGCAGTACACTCATTAGTATGGAGCAGAGCCCTGGTCCTCAGGACTCCACTCCCCCTACTGGCTCTGTCGTCGTCATCATCTAAACCCTGTTCAGCCCCTTTGGATTCCKTTACATCCATGACAAAACCGTTATTCTGACCTTTATATGTTTCCACTGCTGCCACGTGTTTAAATGTGTGTCCTTTCTTCCGCTCAAAGGGGAAAGTCTGGTACCGTTTCTTTAGGTCAGGGGACGTCTGGACGCCTGTGCTCCTCGTGACATTTGGAATGGATCTGCGTGCAGGGACGGTCATGTACTTGCGGTATGCCACTTTATATGACATGGGCTTGCCGCCTTTCCCCGCTGCCTGCAGCTCTGCCTCCCTCTGCTCGTTCTGTGCCTCGCAGATGTCCTTGAAGCGCACTTGCAGGGCCTTGTTTCTCTTCCTCACCTGTCGACTCGCTTCTAGGGAATACTTCACCTCCAGTGCCAGCGAGGTGGAGGGCAAAGGCGCTGCCTCTGAGTCAGACTCTGAGTTGGTGAGCATGCATTTGCCACCCTCCTTGCTCACCATGTTTCCTGAAAAACACGGAGAAAGATGCTGGGTTATTAATCAGCTATCAGAGGCATAGTATTACATATTASAAAATTCTAATACACTCTAAACATAGGGGGAGTTGGTTTTGGAGGAACATGATTTAAAAGGTTCCAGAAAGCAAAATCAAAGCTTTTTGTTCTTCCTTTCTTGATTCTCTGTAATTGTTTGATAGTTTTTTGGTGCTTTATACTAAAATCCTGCAGGTTTATGGTGTCAACCTGACCTAAGAAAATTGCAAGCAGATTTCCATTATGCATTTAGCTTTTCTGTGAAACCAGTAGCTCTAGTTTCAGCTTCATTTTCACTCTTTTATTGCCATTTAAAGCCTCTTTCATTACCTGTTTTCCTCCCTTCTCTAAGTTGATTAGTCTCTGTCTCTGTTTTTTMTGGGAGCTTTTGCAGTGGTTATGGGTCCCTGCATTCACAATTATACAACACAATCATACTCTTAAATGCTCAAACACACATTTTAAACCAAAATTATGGCTATTTTGCTGGTTTATGTACATGAGGGCACCCTTTTAAACAAGGCACTTGACTCTGGCCCCGTTGCAGTCACTGTGTGCTGGTACCATATTATGGTTTATGGGTTTTTACTGAACCATGGGAGCTAGACCTACACAGTAAGAATGAAAATAAGCAACTAGCTGCCTTACAGACTGTTAAAAAYGATTTGCTTTCCTATTGTTTTTTGAGCAGTCAGTTTATTTTGGTAGTTCAAAAGCAATGTTACAATCCTCTGAGTGGCAAAATATGTCTTAAACTTTTCTGGGGATTTATTCAATTTTGCAATTCATGGAAAGTAATATCTCTCAACTGTAGTTAGTACACATCCCTTTATGTTGGATCAGAACTTTATAAATACCCATGACAAAATCATTTAGTGTATGACTCAATGACAGTTATATGTCTTTACAAGTACAAGTTACTGTACTATAAAACAGTACTGTAGTATAGTGCAATAGTGTGTAAACTTTGCACAAAAAGTGAAKAAATTTGTGTTTGGTGGATTATTTCTTTGTTGTAACAATATTTATTGGCAATAAATCTTATACTGAGCACCAGATTAGCAGCACCAGAAGCTCAAAAAAAGTGTMAATAGAAATAGCAAAACGAGCTGTTTGAAAATGGCAGAGCAGAAATGGCAACAGAAATGCATGTTCCTTACAAATGTGGCATCATTTAAAAGGTAATTTAATAGGCTTTCAAATGATGTATGATTTATTGCCAAGAAGCATTGTTACAACAAAGAAATAATCCACCAAACACAAATGTCCTCACTTTTTGTGATAAGTATTGTTAAGTTAGTAAGCAATATTTTTTTCCATTTAAATCTACTTTATTGTTATTCTTTTCTAAAAGGCAGAGGCAGGAAATAATGTTTTAATTTATGACTCTGTGTGAAAGCTATAAATAGGCAGAAGTTGAATCTCTTGAGGCAACGTTTGGACCCTCCGCATCTGCGAAAATGGTATCTTTTCTTGGTCRATTAACATAAAATGGATAAAATCGTGTGAACAACACTTACAAACATAAACTTTTGTCAGTAAGCTGTACAACAACTCCTTGAGGAGAAGCAAGAGGAGATAATGAATTATATCCTAGGTATAATACCAGCTTTGTGACTGCAGTGCCTCTTGGGGCTCTGGCAAATAATACAATTTCCCCTTTTGCCTGCTGATTTACCATAAGCAAACAGTCCACACACTCATGGCTGCTAAATCAGATGCACCAATTATACCTCTCAGCTTATCTTTCAACAATAAATAACTTCCAAATTCAAGCATGTCTTTCTCCTCACTTGAAAGCGGTGGATTGAACTTTTATTTTTTTCTTTTTGGCCTCCATCAGTAAGGGTGTATGTTGTTCTTGCACATAAAAATTAAATCACTTTTTTTTTTGTCTTGGGTAAGGGTTAAATAATGAATAATTGTATATAGGTCAGTGATTTTATTGAGGCAAAGAAGTAACCATGAGACCAGTAACTGTAATAACAGTTTCAAGCAGCTTGAAGTTTTGTTGGTATTTAAAAATATTGGGACAGTTTAAAAAATATTGGGACGGTATTAAAAATATATTTGGACGGCATTAAAAGGTATTAAAAGGTATTAAATTAAAAATGTACTTATACATTTCTGTATGTACCCTGGCATAAGTATTCAAGTCAGTWTTATAGTGATTTACACCATTGCTGGTTACAAAATGCCTAAATTTCCAACTTGCTTTTGCCAGATGCAAAATGTTTTGTGAACATGAGAATGGGGAACTCTAGATGTCCTGTCATGTTTGAACAGCATGGACATTTTCTCCTGAAACAAGCTGTTTGAAACCTAAAAATGCTGTTGGAGGCAGATGAACCCATCAGCATTGCAGATTGACAGACCTCCCCTTGGAGCCAGTCGCGCGTCGCCCGGTAATGTCATTGGTAAGCGAGAGCAGCACAGCATGCTCATACAGACAGGTTACAGATGGGAGCTTTCTGCTGCGCAAGCAGATGTTGGTTTGATTCTCAACAGACAGGTGATAACTAATGTGGGCAGATGACCAGACGTTACCGTGAGGATGCAGTTTTTTATTTTATTTTTTAAATGGACGACGTGGTAAAAACAGCACAAATAAAAACAACTCTGCCCACAGTAACGACAGTGTAGTAAATGCACATTCAGCACAATGCAGGAATTACCTATAGAGAGRCTCTTAAAGTCCAACACCCACCATAACAGTCCCAAGTGCCCTTAACAGGTAATCGCTGTAGTAGAATACAATGGCTATATGTTTTTTTCACATTTGGGCCAGGCAAGTGTAAAAAAAATAGCATAACCAGCTAGTCACAGAAACACACGAGCATATCACCAAAGAATGCTGAAGTGTTGATGATGTCAGAGAAATTGCTACAGGCAGGACATCTTCATGACGGATGACTGTGGGAGTGAGGACGACTTAAGTGGAGAAAGTTTCAGTTATTTGACAATGTCTATGACAATTTGTCTGCAAGTGAAGAAGAACAAAGTAGAACTGTTTGGAGGGAAGTTATTAATTAWTAGAGTGGTTCTGATCTGTAAGAACCACCACTGTCAAGAAGCTCGCAGAGAGTGTTCTGGGTGGACCTTCAAAACACCAAATGCTGTATGCTAAAATGATTGGTGGGCCTGATGGATAGAGCTTCATCAGAGCTAAACAAAAATAAAAAACACTGAAGCTCTTATGTTTAATAGTTTCTGAGTTATAAGCATTTTTGCATGTCCAGACACCCCCTCTTTGAAAGAATCCCCCTCCTCAAATATGGGGTGTATCGGAAAACTGTTGGCTGGCGCAGTGTAGGTCAGACTCATCTACAGTCCTGCCAAATTTCGTGTTGATTGGTGCAGCTGTTTTTGTGCTACGGTTGACCAAAAATCACTGAGAAAAAAAAACAGTACGAAAACATTATGACTCCCGCTTATACTTAGCGTGCGGGGCTCATAATAAATGGTGTCCTGTTGTGCTAGAAAAAACAACAGCAACAATGTTAAAATGAAGTGGGAAAAATAAGGTAACCTGACGATCACAGAGGAATGTTGGAACCACATGAGAGACAGTGGGGTACATCAAGATTTTCAWATTACTTGGGGACTGGCCAAGCCATCCATCAGTACTGGTTTCAAATTCATTAATACAGAATGTCTTTTCATTTGCTTTTCCTTTAACCTTTGAAAACATATTTTTGTGTAACATACCTGTGGATAAACAAAATTCTAATGATAAAACACTGTTGTGTGTCCTCCTTGCTGCGAGTAAAAAGACCCTCACAAGTAGATGGCGCAAACCTGAACTGAAGATTGGATAAATGTTGTAAAAGAGATTTACACAATATAAAAACTGTTTCTTCTTTCAAAGTTCAGAGCGATATCTTTATAGATCATGGTCCAAGTGGATATAATATGTCAAGCCACTTAGATCTGATTTTATATAAAGCTTCCTGCTCATGGTGCACATATTTGAACAATCATGTCAATGATGGGATTGAAACTTGGCTCACAAGCCACCCAAGTTCTAATGTTTATTTTTAAACTAAAAGTTTTAAAACGTGAAAGAAAATTCTAATTGTCTTGACRCTGTAATGTTCCATGTGATTTCTTAATAAAAAAGTTAATAAAAAAACAAGTAAATTGCATCAAGACACTGGACTATTGAAGTGATACAGGTGAAAGTCACAGGTTCCCTGAGATCATTTTAAGAAGGCCATCTTTAAAAGTTTTGAAARGAAGACTCAAAATTGAAAAATTCCTTTTTGTGACTCACTTTGCCAGCACAGTTCTCATGTTTCCCATTTGTACGTTCCCTATTGTGTGCATCGATACATCAAGAGAGGATCCAGAGCACCATTTCAAGCAGCTTAGCTGACCACACAAATACCTGATGCTTTACTCCGATCCAGTGGGCAGAGTGGCACCTTATCTGGCTGATAAAATGTAACAAGATTGTTTCTTTGTTGTTAAACTTCCTTGAGAAATTGTGATATAATTTCATAAGTTCTATAAGTTATAATGCCTTTCACAAGACAGAGTATTGCATGTTTATATGATAGTGTGTTAAAAGGGTGCTACAAAAATGTAGATCAAAAATAAAGGAGAGAGAACAGTGTTGTCATTGAGAAAAAAAAGTGTTGGCGAGTGCTGTATTATAAAGCATGCAAAAAAATTACTGAGTGACTGCTGACCTTCTTGCCATTAGGTTGATTGAGCTTCGAAAGTAGAGAGTTACAAGAATGTAAAGTAGGAGAACCTGGCTGCGCGTCTCAAACCCATTCATTTTCCAATTATTAAGCCGTCTGTCTGGCAAATGAAGCCTTTCAGTTGAAGAAAGTCAGAATTTTCTCTCTTCCCCTGTCCTTTTGAATATGTCACAGTCACTCCCGGACTTGTATCTGTTCATCAGCATGGCTGAGCTCTCCTGATCCATCCCTGCCAGACGTCCTCTGCATGTTTGTACAGATGGTGAC